TCTGATGATTTCCGTTTTGACCACCTTCTCAATTCGTCATGTGCTTGCAATACTCACAACGTTCCTTTCTCCATCGCCTTGTACAAAGGTGCTTTAATTCGGGTCACATTCGGAATCATGTTCCAAAATCACGGTGCCATGGGAGTTGATGTTCAAGCACGCTTGGTGGGGACGAGAGAGCGGTCTTCTCTGTGGTGGCCCCCCGTCTCTGGAACGTCCTTCCTAGAGAAAGAAGACAGGCCCCATCCCTTCCCTCATTTCGTAAGAGCCTGTAGACCTGGTGGTTTAAACAAACCTTTGAGGACGACTAGTTCTAGCTCTGCCCGAGATACTGTTAAAATTGGCCATATCTTCCTCTACCAATTACCCCGGTCACTTTCTTCTATTAGGCCCTGGAAATGTACAGCCATAGAGTCTACCTAATTTCCCTGGCCCTCTAAAATCACACTAGCCGCGGCCCGGCCTTTTAAACTGCCTTGAGCAGGCAGGATTATTTTAAATATATGTGCTCTTATGGTTTTTAATACTTATATTGTCTTGTTAATTTTATGTTTATGCTGTTTCTTTATATGTATTGAGCACCGGGATTGTGGCGCAGCTGGCCGAGTGTCAGCTGCATTAAGATCACTCTGACCAAAAGGTCATGAGTTCGAAGTCAGCCCGGGTTGGAGTGGGTTTCCAACCAATTGTGTAGCCTGTTGTTGACCTTTGCAACCCGAAAGACAGTTGCACCTGTCAAGTAGGAAAATTAGGTACCACCTTAAAGTGTGGGGAGGTTAAATTAACTAATTTATGAGGCCATAAAAAAGACTCCAGGAAAGCATTCCAGCGGGGAAGCATGCGGGGAATGCGGAAGTACTTCGTCAGCATCGCAGATGGACGATGAAAGCGACAGCTTCCCTGGCGGCCAGAAAAAGTTAATTAGCCTCTGTGTATGTCTGTATATGTTCGTATGTGAAAAATTGGCATTGAATGTTTGCCATATATGTGTACACTGTAATCCGCCCTGAGTCCCCTGCGGGGTGAGAAGGGCGGAATATAAAAGATGTAAATAAATAAATAATAAATAAATATGTTACTTGGAAACCGCTGCGAGTCCCCTTGGGGAGATAGAGCCGTATATAAATAAAGTTTGGTTGTCGTTGTTGTAATGTGAAAATGTGGTAGAAGTAACACAGAACTGAATAAATTCACCACGACTGCTTTCAATTTCATGATCTATTTGTAAGATTTATTCAAATGACCAAGTCATGTGCTTCACTTTTGAAATCGTTTCTACATAGTAATATTGCTATCCATTTGGTTGTAATTTAACATCAAACGTGCCCTTAAAGCATAATTCATTCCAGGCAGTTCTCAATAGCATTAGAAATGTTCAGAATTTTTCAGTGTCACCTAAACATTATTTTAAAATGCTGGTCACTATCAATACTAACAAATGAGTATTTGTCTGCTCAGCAAGACAATCTTAAATGGCTTTATTTGGACGTAGGCTCAATGAATCTTTGTTAAAAGTGTAAAATTAAAATACACCTTATGTTTTTAAAAATAATTTTAACAATGGTTTGTTGTAGGTTTTTTCGGGCTATATGGTCATGGTCTAGAGGCATTCTCTCCTGACGTTTCACCTGCATCTATGGCAAGCATCCTCAGAGGTAGTGAGGTCTGTTGGAACTAGGAAAAAGGGTTTATATATCTGTGGAATGACCAGGGTGAGACAAAGGACTCTTGTCTGCTGGAGCTAGGTGTGAATGTTTCAACTGATCACCTTGATTAGCATATAATGGCCTGATAGTGCCTGGAGCCAACTTTTGTTGAGAGGTGATGAGATGTCCTTGTTTGTTTCCTCTCTGTTGTTGTGCTGTTGCAATTTTAGAGTTTTTTTTAATACTGGTAGCCAGATTTTGTTCATTTTCATGGTTTTCTCCTTTCTGTTGAAATTGTCCACATGCTTGTGTATTTCAATGCCTTCTCTGTGTAGTCTGGCATGGTGGTTGTTGGAGTGGTCCAGCATTTCTGTGTTCTCAAATAAAATGCTGTGTCCAGGTTGGTTCATCAGGTGCTCTGCTATGGCTGACTTCTCTGGCTGAAGTAGTCTGCAGTGCCTTTCATATTCCTTGATTCGTGTTTGGGCGCTGTGTTTGGTGGTCCCCTATGTAGACTTGTCCACAGCTGCATGGTACACTTCCTGCAGAAGTGAGAGGATCCCTCTTGTCCTTTGCTGAACGTAGCATTCATTGGATTTTCTTGGTGGGTCTGTAGATAGTTTGTATGTTGTGTTTCCTCATCAGCTTCCCTATGCGGTCAGTGGTTCCCTTGATGTATGTTGGCTCCAGGCACTATCAGGCAACAAAAAGTTGTCTTCAGGCACTATCCAAGGCTTGTTTTGGAAAGAATTGGGGAAACCTTTTCCCCATGATAACTCTTTCAGGAGTGAATTTCCCTTCCGAGGGGTAAATTTCTCTCACTTCCTGTTGTCTTGCTCCCATTTTTAAGTATCAGTCATTTGTAAGTCAGATGTTAGTAACTCCAGGACTGCCTGTACTAGCAAACTGGAAAACCAACAAGATTTGAGCCAACGTTCAATTCTGTGCCTGCTTTTAAAAAGATTTAAAATATAAGTTATTTAAAAAATATAATGACTTCTAATACAACATTTTAGAAGCTATCCCAGAAGGTAAACAAAAACTAGGTGAAGCAAGCAAAACATGACATGATGTTTAAAAGTAAAGGATTTCCTGTGGATAGGTCAAATATATTTTAGTCTTCCTTGGTCCTGCTCACACCATTAGCATGAAGCATGACTGTAGCCCTGACATTCTTTCTCCAATTCTAATTGTAAGATACAAATCATTTTACAGATCAACATGGAAGTTCATTAGATTGCTAACAGTAAATACAGAAATACTGATTTCAAGGAAATTTTCATACATGAAGCAGGAGAAATTAAATACACAAAGGCGAACAATTCCACTATTACAGTAACCAACAATGCCATGGAGAATCTTGATTCTTAGTACCCAATAGCCTTCTCGTTTCAAAACAATACAAAGCTATACATTTAAAACCAGGAGGTCTTGATTGGTAAGACACAGCATTTTAAAAACACTTTTCTTTGTGCTCACCAGCTTTCAAATGACTGAAGAACCCAAATGAATCCATAAATTCATTATCTATTTAAATGAACCTGTAAAACACCATTCTGTTAGACATATTCATGTATAAGCCAACCTCCTGAACAAGACGAAGGCAAGTTTGGGAGCCGAAATTATAGAGTTTGATATGACACATGGATAAGTCGAGGGTCATTCTGCAGAGAAGGAAAAGCACAAAGGGTGGCTCGGGGAATCAGCCACCCTTGCCATGTTCCCACCCAGGCATTAAAAAAGGCCAGATGCGGTGCCATGGCAGGGAGAGTAGAAGGAAAGTAAGTACTGTATATTCCAACATATAAGACCACTGGGCGTATAAGACGGCCCCCAACTTTTCCAGTTAAAATATAGTTTGGGATATACTCACCGTATAAGACTACCCCTCTTTCAACACACACCAAATAAATTTTTTAAAAGCATCAGATTTGATTTCAATACGGTAATTTTCCTATTACTGTACCTCCTTCTCTGCCTCTCAGATCTCGCACATGTGCACCTGTACCACTTCACTGCAGTCTTCAGGAGCGAGATCTCAGAGGCAGAGGAGGAGGTACAGTAATAGGATACAAGGGTGGGCCAGACAGGTAAAAGAGTTGTGTTTTTCTAGGCCCAGAGCCACTCTATCTCTTTTTTCCATACCCCGGGTGCCCCAGACGCCTGCGGCTTGCTCCGCCCTTCACTTACACCTTCCCGGTGAGGCGCCCCTTCACCTCACCATCGGGACTGCATTAAGTCCACGAATCCTGATGAATGGATTTTCTTCTACAGTACTTGTATAGCGTCGCCCTTAATGCTTTCATACAGTCGCTGCATACAGCAGGGAAGCGTCCACTGCCATTTTTGAGCCCCCCCCCCCCCCCACAATATTCAGCAACCACAGATTCTCCAATCCAGATTGGAAGTTACAGCATCCGCTCTATTATTTATTTATTTCGAGTACTTCAGCGTTTGTCTTTCAGAGTTCCATAATTCCATTCCACTTAGTCAATTCCTGTCCATCGTCGAAGTCCTTTCTTTATCTGCCAGAATGTCCGAATGCCTGGTCCCAAATCCATGTTTTCAATTTTTTCCTAAAGGAAAGGAGGGATGTCGCTGATCTAATTTCCCCGGGGAGTGAATTCCACAGATGAGGGGCCACCACCGAGAAGGCCCTGCTCCTCGTCCCCGCCAATCTCACTTGTGATAGAGGTGGGGTCGAGAGCAGGGCCTCCTCAGAAGATCTTAAACTCCGAGGTGGGACATAGAGGGAGCTCCGTTCGGACAAATACACTGGGCCGGAACCGTATAGGGTTTTGTAGGTCAAAACCAGCACTTTCAATTGTGCTCGGAATTGGATCGGCAGCCAGTGGAGCTGACACAACAGGGGGGGTGGTATGCTCCCTGTATGACGCTCCTGTAAGTACTCTGGCTGCCTCCCGCTGGACTAGTTGGAGTTTCCAAACAGACTTCAAAGGCAACCCCACGTAGAGTACGTTGCAGTAATCTATACCCCCAGTATATAAGACTACTCCCGCATATAAGACGACCCCCATGCATAAGGCTACTCCAGAGCATAAGACAACTCCTGTGTATAAGACAACCCCTGACTTTTGAGAAGATTTTCTTGATTTAATAAGTAGTCTTATATACCAGAATATACGGTATATCTTTCAGGTTCTCCCAGGACAGACTAAATTTTTTTTCCCCTTTGGCCACTCTACTCAGAGAATGGGGTGCTTCCTTTTTTGATAAGAGTTAAGGTACAGTACTCACACTGACCTATGGATAACTCAACTCAGTTTTTTGAGTTGATTTTGTGACTAAAATTCTAGACTTATACATGAGTATATAGGGTAATCATGACTGGTCATTACTTGAAATGTTCTGAACAGAAGAAGCTGAATCGAGACCTAACAAAGTTCCAAGGTAAGACTGTTCTCTAGAATCCAACATTTGCTCCGGTCTGACTGGATGAACTATATTTGCTGGCTGTGGAGTAAGCGTGTATTTTTCTAGGAAAGCCAGGTCTGTTGCTGGCTGATAGTCTGTTGGAGGTGGCTGTGAAGGAAGAATGTCGTGAGGGGACGATGTAACAGCAGGGGGGTGCTGTATAAGTTCAGAATGACTTTCACACATTTGAACAGGTATTAGCATTACTGGCACCGAAGTGTCTGGGGATACATTCTGCACTGTCTTGGCTCCCACTTGGTAAGGTTTGGGCTGTTCCACGGATAGTTTAGAATCACTTTGAAAAACCTTGTCCTCGGGTACATACTGGGTTGGCAGGGAAACAATCTTCTCCTCCGGCTCTGGGCTGAGAGATTCCTCTGCAGACTTTCCTCCATGAACATGGTCAGTGTGGTATTTCAGTTTGTCTTTCCGTTTAAACGTTGCATTGCAGTATTGGCAGTTGAAAGGACGAGCATCGGAATGGATCACCATGTGTTTAGTTAATGTCTTCTTAATTCTGAAGGACTGGTTACAGATTTGACATTTGTATGGCTTTTCACCTGTGTGGGAAAGTCAGTATTAACAGAAAATAAGAAAGCACAGTAGTCCTTCCCTGCTCCCTGTTACCCATTATTTTGCATTCCATAGTTTTAGTTACCCATTGCCAATGTGGCCTAAAAATATTTTTAAAAATCCAGGGAAAAATAATGTTTATATCACACAATGTATTCATATTACGTACTTTTACAACATATTGTTGTTAGTACTATTTTATTACTGTTATTAATCTCTTACTGAGCCTAATGTACAAATTAAACTTCATCATAAGAATGTATTTATAGTAAAAAAACAAAACAAAAACCCAATAACAACATAAGTTTTGATACTATCTGCACTTTCAGGCATCTACTAGAGCTCTTGGAACATATGTCCTGTGGATTGACTACCATCATCACCTACACAAACAGTATTTATTTATTCATTATTTACTATGACCACAAGATGATTTTATTGCTGCTATTGTATTAATATGACTGTTTTAACTAGTTATAACTGTTGTTGTTATATTGTATTTTGTATATTGTATTTTGTGAACTGTTGGGCATCGAACTGTGCCTGTTGTAAGCCGTCCTGAGTCCCCCTTAGGGGGTTGAAAAGGGCAGGGTAGAAGCACTCCAAATAAATAAATAAATTTATTTAAAACTTTTATATCCCGATCTTCTCACCTCCGTACAGGAACTCAGACCGGCATACAGCAAGGATTCAATGCTACTAATACAAGTTAAAACATCATACAACAATACAAGGTTAAAATATATATAGATAAAATACATATGTACCAAATCACCAAGGTAAAATCATGTTCAACTCAGTCCGCATATGTGGTCACTCACTTTGGTCTGTAACCAGTCTCAGCCATTATTCTGGGAATGCTTCGTTCCATAACCAGGATTTTACTAGCCTCCTGACGGACAAGAGGGAGGGGGCAGATCTAATCTCGCTCGGGAGAGAGTTCCAAAGCCGAGGGGCCACCACAGAGAGAAGGCCCTGTCTCTCGTTCCCACCAAACACGCTTGCGAAGGTGGTGGGACCGAGAGCAGGATCTCTCCGGAAGATTTTAACGTCCTTGATGGTTCATAGGGGAGAGTACGTTCGGACAGGTAAACTAGGCCGGAACCGTATAGGGATTTATAGGTTTGATACTATCTGCACTTTCAGGTCTTTTGCAGGTCTCTGTCACTTAAAAACCCAATTACATAGTTTTATTAATTTACTTAATTTTAATAAAACAACAGGCAAGATATCTACATGGTAACATTGAGTAAAATAGCCAGAAACAATGTGTTTTGTGAGGACCTGTTTTCTTAACCCATGGAAAACAACAACTTCATTAAATGTGATTCTCAAATTGCTTGATCAATGCTTTCTCAGACTATTAGCTGGGGTGGTGGTGATGATTCATTAAAATAAAAGTTCACGTCCACTCACATATTGAAGGCACTGCCCAAAGAAATGATTCTATCTGGGATCCTTTTTTAACCAGAATAAGACCAGGGAAACTTTGGGCATACGTGTTAAAATACAATCAGCTCTATACTGACTAGGGTTTCTGAGGGATTTTTATTTATTTTATTTATTTATTTATTTATTTTTAATTTATTTGTGTATGCTTATATACCGCAATATCTCAGCCTACAACGGCGACTCATTGCGGTTTACAACACTTAAAACAACAATATTCAATTTAAAAACATTAAATACATATACAGTACACAGTATCGGGCCACCAATACAGACCAATGCATCTCTTAGTTAAAATCATAATCCAATTTCGTCGTCTATAATTACCAGTCCTTGATCATCAACTTCATCGCACCGGATTAACCGAATGCTTGTTCAAACATCCATGTCTTCAGTTTTTTTCGAAATACCAACAGCGAGGGAGCTGATCTTATCTTTATAGGGAGGGCATTCCAAAGCCGAGGGGCCACCACAGAAAAGGCCCTGTCTCTCGTTCCCGCCAGCCGCACTTCTGAAGCCGGAGGGACAGAGAGCAGGGACTCTCCAGAAGATCTTAGGGTCCTGGTGGGCTGATAGGCTGAGATACGTTCGGATAGATATGTTGGGCCAGAACCGTTTAGGGCTTTAAAGGCCAATGCCAGCACTTTGAATTGGGTCCGGTAGCTAATCGGCAGCCAGTGGAGCTGGTACAGCAGAGGAGGTGTATGCTCCCTGCGCCCTGCTCCTGTTAGTACCATGGCTGCCGCCCGTTGGACTAGTTGGAGCTTCCGGGCCGTCTTCAAAGGCAACCCCACGTAGAGAGCGTTGCAGTAGTCAAGGCGGGATGTAACCAGAGCGTGGACTACCGTGGCCAAGTCAGACTTCCCAAGGTACGGTCGCAGTTGGCGCACGAGTCTTAACTGTGCGAATGCTCCCCTGGTCACCGCCGAAACCTGGGGGTCCAGGCTCAGCGCTGAATCCAGGATCACACCCAAACTGCGAACCTGTGTCTTCAGGGGGAGTGCGACCCCGTCTAACACAGGCTGTAACCCTGTACCCTGTTCGGCCCTACGACTGACCAGGAGTACCTCTGTCTTGTCTGGATTCAATTTCAATTTGTTCGCCCCCATCCAGACCGTCACAGCGGCCAAGCACCGGTTCAGGACCTCGACAGCCTCCTTAGTAGCAGGTGGGAAGGAGTGACAGTTGGACATCATCTGCGTACAGATGACACCGCACCCCGAAACTCCGGATGATCTCACCCAGCGGCTTCATGTAGATATTAAACAGCATGGGAGGACAGTATTGAACCCTGAGGAACCCCACAAAACAAAGGTTGTGGGGTAGAACAGGAGTCCCCCAGTAACACCTTCTGAGACCGACCCTCGAGGAATGACCGGAGCCACTGCAAAGCAGTACCTCCAAGGCCCATTCCCGCGAGGCGTCCCAGAAGGATACCGTGGTCGACGGTATCGAAGGCCGCTGAGAGGTCAAGTAGCACCAACAGGGACACACTCCCCCTGTCGAGCTCCCGACGGAGATCATCCACTAAGGCGACCAAGGCTGTCTCGGTACCATGCCCCGGCCTAAAGCCAGACTGTGCCGGATCCAGATAATCCGTGTCTACCAAGAATGCCTGGAGTTGTGAGGCCACCACACGTTCCATGACTTTGCCCAAGAAGGGGAGATTGGAAACAGGCCGATAGTTGACGAATTGAGTGGGGTCCAGTGATGGTTTTTCAACAGCGGTTTTATAACAGCTTGCTTTAAGTTCGCTGGAATGCTGCTTTCCTGAAGGGAGGCATTAACTGCCACCTTTACCCACTCGGCCAATCCCCCTCTGGCTTCCTTGAAAAGCCAGGATGGGCAGGGGTCTAGGACGCATGTGGGAGGCCTCATTCCTCCAAGTATCTTGTCCACATCCTCGGTTTGAACCAATTGAAATGAATCCATCAAAATTGGACAAGCAGATGCTCGTGTTACATCCTCAGAGACTGCCGTTAATATGGTGTCCAGTCCAGAGCGGATCAAAGCGACTTTGTCTGCAAAGAACTGAGCAAAGGCTTCACAGCGAGCTGCCGAGTCATCAGGGCTCCCATCCTGAATGGTGGGTTTTAACAGGCCTCTGACAACTCGAAACAGTTCGGCCGGACGGTTCTTTGCAGACGCAATAGTGGCCGTAAAGAAAGTTTTCTTTGCGGCTTTTATTGCCGCGGCGTATGACCTTAAAAAGGACACAAACCGTGTTCGGTTTGGCTCGCTCGGATCCGAACGCCACACGCCCTCTAGTTCCCTCTTCTTTCGCTTCAACGCTGCCAGCTCCTCAGTAAACCAAGGGGCTGGTTTTGTTCGGCTACTTGAGAGGGGACGTTCTGGAGCGATCGTGTCTATTGCCCTAGTCATCTCCCCATTCCAGAGAGCGACCAGAGCATCAACAGGATCACCAACCGAGGTGGCGGGAAATTCCCCAAGAGCCATCAGGAATCCATCCGGATCCATAAGCCTCCTGGGGCGGACCAATTTAATGGGTCCTCCACCTCTGCGGAGGTTAGGGGGTGCAGTGAGTCTAAAGCTGACCAGGTGGTGGTCGGTCCATGGCAACGGAGAGATGGATCACTCCTCAACACCGCCACCTTCCTCCCATCCCTGACAGAAAACCAAGTCCAATGTATGTCCAGCACTGTGGGTGGGGCCAGGGATACATTCCAAAACAGCTGGAATGCTGAAGTTTTCTTCCTGGCCTAGAAAATTAATCTCAAAAGTGATAGTTTTCTACATAGGAGGAGTTTTTGACATAGGAATGAATGCACACACACAGTCACATACCTATAATCTAAATTCACTTTCAGGATCTAGTTGCTGGGGTGAGCTACAGTATGTGACAGAAAAATGTGGTATTGTGCTAATGCTGCAATAGCATTGCAACAAATGATCAAGAACAAGTTGAACAAGTTGTGAATGGGGCACTAACAGAAAAATCTCAAAGACTATTTTACAAGCCTGCATCCTGAGATTTCACTGGAAGGAATTGCACAATTTGATAAGGGAATTCCTCTTTATACCCATGCCCAAAAGACTAAAATGGGCATCTTTTGTCCAAATACACATACCAGGAAATCCTGGCCACCCTATTTCTTTGGGCACTGATTCCATAAAAAGTGAGGTGTCCGTGAATATGGATTCAATTCTCAGACCATAAGCTACCATGTTCCATAATGATATGACCTTACACAGAACAGATGCACACATACACAGAGAGATGTTTAAATATCAGTATCACTGAAAGAGGTGGAGAAACAGGAGTCAGGTCCTGTGGCAAACAGAGGTGCAATTCTAAAGTCACGTCTACAAACACTCCTATGGTGTACAGTAATTTAAGGTTGTTTACCTGAATGTGTCCTAAAATGCATTTCCAAACTGGATTTCCCTTTAAAAACTTTCTTACAGACTCCACACTGATGAAATGTTGCTTTATACCTTCAAAGAAAAACAAATGTTATAAAATTGGTTGTCTTTCTAACAATATTTTAAGGCTTGCACAAATTATCTAATTAATACATGCAAGGGAGTTTACATCTTCCATCTCAACACAAACCACTTATCTAAAATGAATATATAATCCTAAAATTAAATTAACGCATAACAACAGTTGTCTGGTTTGGGCATAAAGGGAAAGTGAACATGAACAAACTTTAATATTTTTTTTTCAAAGCCTGATGTGCAAGGCAAAAGTAAAGAAGCAAGACAGCATAACATTTTCTTTTCACCCCATTGTATATACGAGGGGTATTTTTTAAGTAAGGTCCTTTTGAACATAAGTACACAACGAAAGTTTATTTCAAAAAAGTAAATTTATTTTCAGAAAGTACATACTTCACTCTATTTTTCAACATAGTTGCCAAGTTTGTTCAAACACTTATCATACCTCTGAACCAATTTTAAAATACCCTCTTCATAAAAACTTGCCGCCTGCTCCGATAAACAAATCGTCTTTAATCAAAGAAGGGCGACCAGAGCGGTCCTCATCATGGACGTTGTCACGGCCATCTTTGAATTGTCATACCCACTTACGCACTTTGCTTTCACTCATAACAGTATCACCGTACACTTCACAAATCTGTCGATGAATTTCTGCAGCAGGCAGGTTCTTTGCTGACAAAAACCGTATCACTGAGCGAACCTCACATGTGACGGGTGAGTTGATAGTCTTAAACATTTTTAAAGCACAGAACAGAACCATACAGGTTAGCTACAGAGCAGAAACTGAGCACAGTTGTTCCCGAGGCATGCCGGTACACGACGCACGCGCTCGTTGTGGTATGCGCGCGAACTACTAGTGTCTACAACAAAACGGACCTTACTTAAAAAATACCCCTCGTAGTAGTGATATTGTACACAGTAGCCAACTCAACATTTGTTCAAAACTAGAATATGTTTCAGAATAAAAATGAGCCTTACTTTTGCCACACCTTTTCTCCTAGATGAACACTTTTATAATGAACAGTGAGGTGATCTCTTCGACCAAAACATTTTCCACATTCCTCACACTGATGAGCTTTTTCACCTAGAGAAAAGAGAATCAACATCACAATATGAAATTACTTCAATAAAAAAAAAACCAATTCAAGGTCAAAAATCTAAGAAAGTAGTAGAAACAGTCATATGCACTTTCACAGTCTTTGACCTGAATCAGAAGAATTCAGAACTTAGAACTTTTGCTATTTTATAAACAAACACTTTTGGTCTCTTCTACTGCCATGGGAAAAAAAAGGAAGATCATGAACTCTAGGCTACCTGTCATTCACATTTACAGCTATAACTCATAGTAGTACATGTGAACCACAGCCCTAGAGCAAGACATATCTTAAATATGTGGGTTTTTTTCTCTTATTTTCTCAAATTTTCACATCCTAAGTACCGTATATTCCGGCATATAAGACTACTGGGCGTATAAGACAACCCCAACTTTTCCAGTTAAAATATAGAATTTGGGATAAGATGTTTTCCCATTATGTTAGATGTTGGATCCAGAGGAGTATTTAGTGGAAATGGAAGAATATGATTCAAGAGGTGATCATATGATTTTCCCCTACCCCCAACATCCTGCATCTCTCCTGAAATATGCTCCAGAAATCCTTGGAGATTTAATCAGAGAAAATAATAATAAAAATTAACTCTCTGTCTCTACCGCCTACAAGGTGATCTCAGATGTATTCTGTATCCTGCAATTAATATTAACACTATTGCCTACCTGAGTGTATTTTTTTGTGTTTTGTCAGATGATCATGGCGAATAAATGTCTTTCCACATTCTTCACATTCATATCTCTTGTCATCATGGTGGACTCGCAGATGAAGTCTGCATCAATAAGCACACAAAAGGAGTTTTGGTGTCACTTCTCAACCCGTTTGTGATTTTGTCCTGAAAATCAACTACTGGCACAAGGTTAAAAAGTTAACTGCCAAAATAGGAATCCAGTAGCGAAAATGCTATAAGAATGCTATAATGATGTCTCATAATACAAATTTTCAGATTTCATCTACTATTAGCTCATTATGCTCTGAAAACAATGTACAATGTTCCCTCACTTATCGTGGGGGTTCTGTTCCAGGACCACCCCGCAATAAGTGAAAATCCGTGAAGTAGGGACGCCATATTATTTTTAATATTTGTACATTATTTTATATATTTTATATATTATTTTCTTACCCATGCTTCCTTACCTGCCTCCCGGCCCATCCCAAGGGCACCTGCCTCCCTCCCTGGCCTCCGCAGAGCCTCCAGAGCTATTCAGGCAGCAGCACCCCAGGGAGGCAGGCCTTCCCCGATTCACCTAAGGCCGCCGCAGTTCTGGGGCCCCTGGCCTCCACTGGTCATAAATATTTTATATTTTTAATTAATATTTTCAAAAACCCGTGAAATTGCGAGTCCACTAAAAGCAAACCGCAAAGTAGCAACGAAACACTGTACACTGTTTTCAGAAACATGCAATAGAATTAGAATATCTATGCTTCCATTATTTTCGTGTGATGTGATGTAGTGGAAGCAATGCTTTGCTCACTATTTGTGTGTTGTCTTATTGTTAATGTTTCGTTATTTTATTGTCCATGTTTTATTTTAATTGCTTGTATTGTTGTTATTATTGCTTGTATTTGGGCTCGGCCTCATGTAAGCCGCACCGAGTCCCTTGGGGAGATGGTAGCGGGGTACAAATAAAGTATTATTATTATTATTATTATTTAAATTCAAACATTCTTGTGTGATTGATTCCTGAGTAGACATATATAGAACTACGTACATTACTAGTAGCCTATCATTCGTAGCGTGTTAAATTCACATTGATATTCTTAATTATTTAATTTATCATATTTTTTTATTTGATGCTTTAAGTTGGGTCTTTAGAGGAAAGCATTTCAATGAAATAACCATTTACCAGGAACAACGAAACAATACAGGCACTATTACCTGTATGAGCTTCCATGACGAAAACTCTGTCCACAAATGCTACACAGATGAGGCTTTTCTCCACTATGGATTCGTAAATGTTCTTTTAAAGTAGTTCTAAAGAAAAGAAAATATGAAAAATGCATTTTCTAGCCTTTCCAATTAAAGTAAGATTCACATAAACCACTATAAATTGTATAAATACTGTTACATTAACTTTTCCCTTCACTGTGTACTCTGCAATGCCGTACTCTGAAACAGATTTCAGCAAAAGTACCTTCTCTGTCAAAATTAAGTTCTGGGATCTGCCAACTTCTCATTCTCCTCCAAATAATTCACTTGAATGTTTGTTTTTCACAGTTAGTATTTTGTGTCTATTGAGCAGGCTCAGTTTCCACCAGGCTCTTGGGAAGGTGGCTTGGTTCTTAGTTTTCTTTTGTTTTTTAGGATTACTGTACTTGTACTTCCGAAAACCTTGTAGTTTGGAAAGTTTACCTACCCTTCTATGCATGAATGATGCCATCTTGATTACACTATGTAACATGATTTTTGTTCTTAGGTTATAAATGTCATTTCCTAATTGGTTCTATCATAAGAAAAAAACATGGAAAAAGTTTATTAAACTGCCAACACTTTGTTTTTGTCGCACATCCTGAAGCATTTAACAGCAAAACAATAGAGAGGAAACAATCTGGAACATCTAATCGCCTCTCAACAAAAGATTGCCCCAGGCACTGCTAGGCCATCAAATGCTAATCAAGGTGGTCAGTTGAAACATTCACACCTAGCTCCAGCAGACAAGAGTCCTTTGTCCCACCTTGGTCATTCCACAGATATATAAACCCTTTTTCCTAGTTCCAACTGACCTCACTACCTCTGAGGATGCTTGCCACAGATGCAAGCGAAACGTCAGGAGAGAATGCCTCTAGACCATGGCCATATAGCCCGAAAAAACCTACAACAACCCAGTGATTCCGGCCATGAAAGCCTTCGACAATACTTTCTTAGATTGGCTATCTTTATGAAGGAAAAAAAAACAACAAATGTGAGGGGCATCAACAAACTTGGGGAAAGCTCAAGGTCTCCAATGGCGGAATAGGAATACCCAAGATAACAGACTTCTAAACAGCTTGGGAAATTATTTTTGAAGACCCAAGTTCTAAGGACAAGACATACCCAATGTTGCCACTGTGCCAACAGAAGGAGCTTCACCTTATACCAGGAAAAGGGAATCGTGCAGTCCTTCAAAGGCTGAACTAAAACTCCGAGCATTTCACACCACTGACTACACTATTTACAGATATTAGGAGGGTTACCTGAACCTCACCTTTTAATTAGTGCAACTTGATTCCCTTGTACTCAAGGATCCTTCTACACTGCCGTGTAATCCAGATTATAAAATCACATAATCCACATTATAAATTGCAAATGGCTTCACCATTTACACTGCCATATAATCCAGTTCAAAACAGATAATCTGGATTTTATATGGCAATGTAAAAGGGGGGGGGGGTGCTGAGAAACCTGCTCCAGAGTAGGTTTTCAGCACTGGAGAGAACAGTTACTAATTATTCTTTTGAAAAGGATTTCATACATTGCCCAAAATTGTCACATGGCATCACACACACTCCTTTTCCTTCCACCCTATCATCCCATCAATATTTAAGACAAACTGCAATGAATTAACATGAGCACAACACAAGCTCAAACATGAACCACATATTTTTTTCACCCCTATTTAGTGAAGTTTGATCTCACAGAAATCTAAACGTAATTAAAAGTGTAAATGGAGAACTAGCACAGCTTTTGCTGACTGACTTCCTCGCGATTTTGTTGCACATGTAATAGAATACTTAATTTGATATTATACCTGCTATAATATTTCTGCAAATGTGCCACTTCTAATATTTATTACACATTGTATGTACTTAGTATTTATATTTCCTGTCTATTGACTTATTTTATTGCACATTACTAATTTCAGTGAATTTACATGAAACTATGACAGGCAACATTCATATCTCGTTACAGGACATCCAATATAATTTTGTTCTAAGTTGCTTTGTGTACAGTCCTGTCACTGTCCCCTTACATAAGGTCTTTAAAAACTGAAATACCATCTTCACTGTACAAACATTTGAAATTTGGAGGCATACAACACAGAAGGAAAATTTTATCTTTGAATTTGGCCCTGCCCAGTGTAATCTTTTGTGTTTTAATGTTTGATTTTATATTGTTGTGTCGCTTATTATATTGGTTTTGCATTTTATGTATTTTATTTTCTGGTTTTGTTGTGGTTTTGTGTTTACTGTACTGATGGGCGTGGCCTCATGTAAGCCGCACTGAGTCCCTCTGGGGGAGATGGAATGAGGTATAAATAAAGTATTATTATTATTATTATTATTATTATTATTATTATTATTATTATTATTAGGTTCGTATAAATCAGTGTATGCAATTGCTCACCTACCTTTCTCTAACTGATTTCCCACAAATATAGCAAATCCATTTCCTCTTTCCCCCATGAGTACATTCAATATGACGTTTCAGATTTCCAGTGTCATTAAACTGACGTCCACAAATATCACATGGGAAAGGTCCTAAGGAGAGCAATAAATACAAATTAGAATATCTGTAATTTGAATAAATTTACTGTACTACAACCAAGCACATTATTTAGTAGCACAAGAATACCAAGTAGAAAGACAACCTTCCTTCTTTGAAAAATCACATGTAAGTCGAACTTTACTTTTACTCCTCTGTCAGTCAGCTGAAACTGAATGACGGTCTACAAAGTGGTAAGTGCTTTGTTCAGATGTGGTTTGTGTGAGTGTCACCTCACTATTTTTCTGCTTTTACACAATTCAAACATGTTTGCATAAAAACAAAACTTTTATTTCTAGCAGAAATAATTTATTTATCCATTACCAAAGCAGATAAAATCCTACAAAAATGGAAGGCATTTCAATTCTTATTTCAGAAGCTGAGCTCATTTGCTTTTAGGCTTTTCAGAATGGAAAGCTTGCGCCCTCTGCTGGAACATTTGAGTATTCATGACAAGTTTGGTCCAGATTCATCATTATTTGAGAATGGAAAGCTTGCGCCCTCTGCTGGAACATTTGTTCAATTTTCCAGAGTCTTAAAAATGAACTGGGCATAGGGTACTTCCCACAACTAAGGCTCCCTCTACACTGGCATATAATCCAGATTATCAAAGCAGATAATATGGATTTTATATGGCAGTATAGAAGGGGCTTAAGTTTTTCCCCTAAAAACTAAGGACTAAATCTAACATTAATGAAATGCAATTAACTTCCTTACTTATTCCACTAGAAGCTATAAATACTATCCAAGAGCTGATTACAAAGCTTTTCCCAACTCTTGAGAACTGGTTTTGCAGTGGGTTTCTTTGGAAAGAATGTGCCTCCCAGTTCCTTTAGATCAGTGTTTCTCAACCTGGGGGTCAGGACCCCTGAGGGGGTCACGAGGGGGTGTCAGAGGGGTCGCCAAAGACCATCAGAAAACACAGTATTTTCTGTTCTGTGTGGGAAGTTTGGCCCAATTCTCTCATTCAGAAGGCTCTTTGATTGTAGACGAACTATAAAGCCAAGCAACTACAACTCCCAAATGTCAAGGTCTATTTTCCCCCAAACTCCACCAGTGTTGACATTTGGGCATATTGAGTATTTGTGACAAGTTTGGTCCAGATTCATCATTGTTTGAGTCCACATTGCTCACTGGACATAGGTGAACTACAACTCCCAAACTCAAGGTCAATCCCCACCAAACCCTTCCAGTATTTTGTGTTGGTCGTGGGGAGTTCTGTGTGCCAAGTTTGGTTTAATTCCATCGTTGGTGAAGTTCAGAATGCTCTTTGAATGTAGGTTAACTATAAATCCCAGCAACTACAACTCCCAAATGACAAAATCAACAAAAAACCCCCAACAAACCCCACTAGTGTTCAAATTTGGGAGTATCGGGTAGTTGTGCCAGATTAGGTCCAGTGAATGAAAAGACATCCTGCATATCAGATATTTACATGACGATTCATAACAGTAGCAAAATTACAGTTATGAAGTAGCAACGAAAATAATTTTATGGTTGAGGGAGTCACCACAATGTTAGGAACTATATTAAGGGGTTGCAAAATTAGGAAGGTTGAGAACCACTGCTTTAGATACTACAATTTCACAATGATACTATCACTGCTGGATAGTGCAATGTGTATTACTTTGCACAATTTTAAAACAGAGATACTCAAATACTATAATAGAAAATATTTGCATAAATTGAAGATTTAGAATCCAATCTACATTCAATTTAACACAACTATATTTTTAAAAACATATTTAACTCTAGTACTTGTGATCAGAACAAGGTTTTCATACCTAGGTGGAATTTTTCTTGATGCTTTAGTCTAGCAAAGCGGGATTTAAAGTGCTCTTCACAATAGGTACACTTGAAAGGCTTATCCTGGGTGTGAAGGATCATGTGTTCGTCCAGATGAAGCCTTCTTGTGAAAGATTTCTTGCAAATCTGAAGCGATACAAGGAGCCAACTAACTAAAATGTCCACTAGAAATTGCCAAGTTTATAAGTTTGAACTTCTTGGAATATAGTGGGGAATCAATCAAACAAGTGGAATACTTTCACTTAGACGATGCTTAGATGATAAACAATTGTACAGGGAGAGGCAGCATAACTTCCTTTTTTAAAATGCGCACCATTCAGTCGGTTGAAGACTTAGTGGAGCGCTAGTGGTCTCGTAAAGAGGCGGGAGTATAAAGTTTTGTCCTGACACAGTTCAGTCGCCATCATGCGTTGGAACATTGAGGAGCATGCTTTTGCCGTTGAGGCCTACTTTTCAAGCGGATTTGGAGTGGCCGGCCTGCTCTCCAGATTTGGCTTCTTGTGATTTTTTTCTATAGGGTTTTTTGAAATCTTGTGTTTATGCGAACCTCCCAAGGACCCTACAAGATTTGAAGACCAACATCCAGGAAGAAATTGCCAACATAACAAGAGTAATGGCAAGAGTCATGACAAATGCCAGAATTCAGTTTACTTAGTATTTGGAGAATGGGGGATGTCACCTACCTAATTTGATCTTCAAAACTATGTAAAACAAAACTTTAGGTATGCGCCTACATTATAAAAAAAAATAAAAAATTCTGATTCATACAATGGGTTTTATTAAGTTTTGAAAAAAGGAAGTTATGCTGCCTCTCCCTGTATAAGTCAATAAAAATATTATGAACAACAGTATTATTCTGGGCAACTTTTTTCTATCCATTGCTATAACATGAAGCTATGCAAAACCTTCAACTTTAGAAAGAGACTGATTAGATAGCTTGGCTATCTGAAGGTCTAGATAGCCTGGTTATTATCTGAAGATTTTCTGTTTTTTAAATAAACATATCTAACAAGAAATACTAGATATCAGCAACAAGATTTATATCCCATATACTAATCAAATTTTCTAAAGATGTGACAATCCAGAGTATAAAAGAACGATGTACTGGTCACACATAATGCAAAAAAGAGGAGGAGTAATCAGAGGACATTAAAGAAGTTTCAATTCACAACTCGAGGAATGCAATGAAGCAAGAAGTGCATTGGGAAAATTGGTTTTTGAAGCTCCTTTCTCACTGCAAATCTCCTTCTCGCTATTTTAAATTTCACCTTGTCAGAGAATGCTTTGCAGAAATTTCCAGTGCAACATGAGAAGCTGTATTTAAGAAAGAAAATCAGGCAAGCCTACAAATCACTTGGGATTCAAGATATAGTATTGCAAAAAGTATAAATCCTTGCTTCTCAGAAATACCAAGATCATGCTTACATCACATTTCCAGCCATCACTCTTTTTTTTCTTAATGGAAAGAAACTCCTGTATATTATCAGGATGATATCTACAAAGGGTAGAGGAGAAATTATTTCAGTAATAAATATATTTTATCATGTGTATCAATTTAACTCTGGTATAACTACCTTGGCAAAGCAGTGTTGGTGCTTCCAGAAAACACAATCCTTTCCATTTTGTAGGCTAAGGGGGGCAGTTATGGAAGTCTAGAGAGGCATATTAGCCTTAAGAGAGCTGCACCCATTGTCGCCAAATAAATGCCTCCACACTTCACCCATGGGACCAGAGAATGTATTTCTGTGACATTTTTGGACAAAAAAAGTTTTCATAAAATTTCATTTAGGATCCTGGGAACTCAGGGTGGGAAGGCTCCAAACAAGAGGCCATCCCTAAAAATAATTTAGGGGCATGTTGGAACAAAACAAAATTTGCTCCATAAAGACGGCCTTGCAAGGCCTCCTGCAGCCCAGGGTTGCACTGTGTTCACCTGTTCTGGTCACAAGAACCAACAATGCTGATATACTTCTAGATGAATCTTAATTCTTTCAATAAAAACTGAAATCTTACACATCTTCCAATGCTGTGATATCCAATTGGCTAGAAAATGCTGTTTTGATAAGCAGTCTCTCTTTCCTTTCAGCTCTGTAGTTTTTTTTTTTTTACTAGATCACTTGACATTTGATTGCATGTGTGAGATAGTTTGTGCGCATCCTTTCACACACAAGCTCAAAACATCTGAGATTATGATCTGCCTTTGTAAAATGACATACTTTAAAAATAATTTGCTGGCATGCATTTAAGTGTTTCTATATTATCACACATGTCAATAATACTCACAATGTTACATTAAAAGGAAATCATATTATAACACTCTAACCACAGTGTAACAAATTAACTTCATACTCGCCTCTTTATATGCTTTATCAAGGTCTTTTTGGTGGCATGCAGTTTGTTACAGTATGAACACTTGTGTTCTTTTTTATGAAGTTCCATTTCATTGTTGTGCTTCTTTCTATGTACAGTTAAGTTGGATTTGGTTGAATAGCGTTGATGACAAATATCACACTCAAAAGGCTTCTCGCCAGTGTGTACACGAACATGGCTCTCAAATTTCCCTACAAAAAAACAAAACACTTGCATTAAATTATTAAATATCCAGTTGGCAAACAATCCTATTAACATCCAGGACAGGGATCTCAATGAACAAAATAGACAGATGCTTTGGTATTACTTTTTAAACAGAAATTTAGTACCATAAGCAGAAATAACAAAAAAACTAAGGATAGGTTCCTGCATCACACAAAACAGAAGAGCAACTCAATGTATTTCTGTCTAGGTTTTATCCAAAATTAATAATTCAAATATGTGAAATGAAACCAAATTAATCAAGCCTCACATAAGTAACAAAAAAAAGATTCTGAATATCATAGAAACCACTTAAAAGCTTCTTCCACAGTGCATCCAAAGATAATGCTTTCTTTTATCAGCCTCCATTTTGGATGGCCAACTTTACAGACTTATTCCACTTTAATATGCTAAGAGAAACTGGTAAGTTAGGCTTCTTTATTGCTGTTCCCCCTCTTTTTTCTGTTCTTATTGCACATATGCACTAGGTGTTCTGGAGGCAAATGCGGTTTATCTTACCATTGCGGGTAAGGATATGTTAAGGCAGAATACCATTTTCCCAGTTTATAGCAGTTTACTTGGAGATACACCCTGCAATCCAACATGAAAAGTTTGGGTTTCTTTAGCCCCTTTTGCCATTTTCAAATGATAAAGGTCTTAAAGCTCAATAGAGGACAAGAATGGAAGATGGTAATAATGACTTTGTAAAAAGAGGCTTCTCTGTCAGAAGCTTTGTTGACTGAAATAGGCCTGCAATACCATACATAAATATAGATTTTGTTTCATTTGGTGTGGGCTTTTCAAACAGATCAGTTTACATGGCACATTATCAAACAAATTCAGAAGGAGAGCCTAGAAAGAAAACCCTTCTATTTTGGAAATATCCTATTTCTCAGCTGGAAAACTGCTGGTCGTAGTGTAGGGAGGGGTTTGAAGTGCACTGCTAGGTCAACTAATGTCATCTTGCTATCCATACTCATACAGGAACAAACACACAACACAAGATATGAAGATGCCTCCTGCCAGTTTCATCTCTAGCAGTTTTCAAGTCTGGTTTAAAATTATTATTTCAAAAATTATTTTAAATAACTATATAGGTAAAACTAACAATAAATATTTCCAAATTTCTTCTAATAGATGTCACTTTATTCTCCCCATCATGATAGAAAGCACCTAACTGGATCAGGACAAGATTCAAATTGCTGATTATAGTGGGGTGCAAGCTTGCTGATGCAAGCAAAAACTGAGTAAATTAGCCATGGCATGAAAAAGGTGTCCTGAGATAGGAGAAAAACATACTAAATTGGAGGCGAAGTGTATACATTTCAGCAACCATTTCATGATCAACACAACATTTCAACTTGTACAAGTAACACCTTCATGTGATCCCAAGATGCATTTTAAGGCTAATTGTGGGTTCAGGCAATGAGATATTTGAACCAGGCCTATGTCTCTAACATTTCTCTGTCTCTTTTGGTAGATTTGGGGAATGTGCAGCCCTCCTGATGTTGTTGGACTGCCCTATGTTATTGCATAGGAATACCAGCTAGACACCAGATGATCCAAATACTTCACTTTAAAGGATCTTACAATAAACATGAGGCTCTATTTTTCCATTACTCAAATAATGTCCATCACTCAATCCTACTAATACATCCCCATCTATTTTAATACTTTTAATATGTCATCAGCATGGATGAGAATCATGTGGCTTTCCACAAGCTCTCGGATTGTAAGTCTCACCATTCTTAAACAGGAAAGCTAATAGTGAGAAAAGCTGCGTTTCCCGCCCTCAAGTAGAGGGAGGGGAAAGAGATAGGTTAAACATAAAATAATAGCTATAACACAATGTAAAACTTTGATGTGCCTTCCAATCAAACATTATCTTCTACAAAAGAAGAAATAAACTCTCATCCCCTCTTACCTGCTCTATCAAATATTTTATCACACTTAGGACACTGCAAACATTTTTTGCTGCTGTTCTGAACAATGACTGGAATATACTTGGAAAGATGGCCTTCTGAAATATTTTCTGCCAGACCAACTGGCTCTTCAGGTTCTTTTTCACTTTGCTCTTCAGACTTGGCGTCATCTCCAGAGGTGTTTTCTTCCTGCCTATCTCCATCCGTATTATATTTACTTCCACTATCTTCAGATTCACTGCTAGACTTACTGTTTTCTTTGCCAACAACAACAGTATCTAGATTGCTATCAGATGCAGCATTGCTTTCATTGTCACTCTGATCAAACTTAGCTGGACATTTTTGATTTCTCATTGATCTTCTGGTAGAGATCTCAGAATTCTCCACCATTTTTAGGCCATGTCCTTTTCCCTCTGCAGTGGAAGTGTGTGCTCTGGACAGGTGATTTGCTAAGGATTTTTTGTAACAGAAGTTGCGACCACAAAAAGTGCATTGGTGACTGCTTTGAACTTTAGCAGTTAGTTCATCAAACTTTTCAAGCTGTGCTGGTTTTTCTAGATTCTCTTCCTGATGCAAACTGGAAACATTTTCAATATTTAGCAGTTTTACTGCATCTATAATATCTAAAAATTTGGCTGCTTCTAAAATTAGGGGGATTTCATTGTTATACACAAGAAACTCTGATGTGTAGAGAAATTCAAGGAGATGACGAAAAACTGAATGAGTTACATGATCCAAGCTAATAACATTAGCTTTTGGATTTTTGCTCAAGTAAGCATGAAAGTAACTGCTGCCAACAGCAACTACTACTTTGTGGGCACTGAATTCTTTCCCATCAACAGTTATAAGCAAATCACAGAATGACGGCTGTTTCTGTCGATCATCATTTAAATATTTTAGTAGATTTTTGTTGTACTGTAGGGAGCTTAAAAGCCTTCTTTGCTCTGGTGATGGAGGAAGTTGTTCGGAACATGCAAGCTGGCCTGCAGGAGCAAGTCCCGCAGAATCAAGGATAGTTTCCTGCTCAGAGTCTGCTGTAGAGATCTTGTTAAAAGACTCCTTCTGGTAATCAAGGCATTTTTTGTCATCTAAATTTGCAGTGACTTTTCTTCTTTTCTTCATTGCAGATGTGCCCTTTTACTATTGGGAACTTCATATGTAAGCTAAAGTCTCTCAAGCTGATAGTTGTTTAAGTAACACTTGAAGTTATTACCTAGAAATAAAATATAAATATATATGTTAAATTTAACCACGTAGTTACAGGAACAGATCTAACTGCTAACACTTCCATTGATTTGCACATGTCTGTATTTATCAGGTTTCTTAAATTGGGCACCATTCCCAATCCCTACTCCAGACATCCTAACAAATTTCTTTTTTAGTATGAAACAACAACAATAATAGTAATAATAATAATAATAGTTTATTTATACCTCACTCCATCTCCCCCCAGGGGACTCGGTGTGGCTTACATGAGGCCATGCCCATCGATACAATACAAACAATATAACACAAAAACATAATAGAACCAAACAAATACATAAAATGCAAAATCAATGTAATATACGTCACAAAAATATAAAATCAAGCATTAAAAACACAGAAAAATTCACTAGGCAGGGCCAGATTCAAGAATAAAAATTTTAAAAATTTTAAAACACTGGAAGATAGGACAGTGTAAATTATAAATTATAGAAATAGCCTGCATATAAACATATACTCAGAAACGCATGGAAATATCCAGTAGCAGTATCTTGAATTGTTTAAACTGTGATTTTTCATCTGTATCCAACAATATTGTAATGAAATAAGTTTGTGCATAGGAAAGAATTTTATGGTATTCTAAATCAGGCTGGAAATCTGTACCAGCTCAGGGAGCTCCAATGCAACTTCCAGTTCCTTCAACCAAATTCCTATGGCTTTTTTTTTGCTCAAATTCCACTGTGTATAGAGACTATATATATATAGTGTGTGTGTGTTTGTATGTATGCGTATATATATATAGAGTGCATATAGTGTATGTATATATAGTGTATATATACACACACTATATACATATACGTATGTATATATATATGTGTGTGTGTGTGTGTGTGTGTGTGTGTGTGTACATACATATACACATACACAAACACTACTAGCCATCCTCTGCCACGATCTGGAAAATAAAATAATGAGAAAATGTTGATTTCTAATATATGTAATTTCTTTATGCCTGTGGATAAATAGTATTTCTTGCTGTTTCTTTGTCAGTGTTGATGTGGAGATTGTCTGGTTTGCTTACTCTGGAAGATGCAGCATATAATTGTCCTTCTTTAGGGGTCCCTTTCAAATCTGTGATACTGTGTGTGTGTGAATCACATTATCTATATATCTATGGCTGGATGGATCTCTGTCAGGAGGGTTTTGATTATGTTTTCTTGCCCTTGTGAAGGGAATTGGACTGGGTGGCCTTAAGTATTTTTTGTTAGTTATGTGGGTTCTGTGTGGGAAGTTTGCCCCAGTTCTGTTGCTGCTGGGGTTCAGAATGCTCTTTCATTGTAGGTGAACTATAAATTCCAATAACTACAACTCCCAAATGTCAAGGTCTATTTTCCCCAAACTCCATCTGTGTTCGGCATATGGAATATTCATGCCAAGTTTGGTCCAGATCCATCATTGTTTTGAGTCCACAATGCTCTCTGGATGTAAGTGAAGTACAACTCCCAAATTCAAGGTCAGTGCCCACGAATCCCTTCTAGTGTTTTCTGTTGGTCATGGGAGAACTGTGTGCCAACTTTGGTTCAATTCCATCGTTGGTAGAGTTCAGAATGCTCTTTGATTGTAGGTGAACTATAAAATCCAGCAACTACAACTCCAAAATGACAAAATCAATTTTTTTAGTTATGGTCACTGATAGGCATATTGTATCCAAATTTGGTGTCAATTCATCCAGTGGTTTTTGAGTTATACTCAATTTGTTGAGTGATGGTCACTCCTTGGGTTAGTAGGTGTCGTGTGCCCTAATTTGGCAGCTATTTATCCACTGGTTTTTGAGTTATGCTAATCCCACAAACAAACATTACATATTTATTTATATAGATATATACACACACATATACACCACACACACACAAATGTCCCTGTGCCAACTTACATACAAATCCAACCAAAGAACAAACCTACAGACCCTATCTTGTCTGTAACTTGAGAACTGCCTGGGGTATTCCAACTCAGGGCTCACAAATTCTGTTGGCCCTGAAAGAACTCCCATTATCCCTTGGCTCTAGGTGCTCTTACTGCCTATTACAGGGGAAACCAGTTGATCCCTAATCCATCTAAAACACAGACATGTGCTTTTCACCTTAAGAACAGACAAACACCCCGAGCTCTGAAGATCACCTGGGAAGGAATCCCACTGGAGCATTGCAGCACACCCAAATACCTGGGAGACACCCTGGATCATGCTCTGACCTACAAGAAGCACTGCTTGAATATCAAGCAAAAAGGGGGGTGCTAGAAATAATATCATACGAAAGCTGACTGGCACAACCTGGGGATCACAACCAGACACAGTGAAGACATCTGCCCTTGCGCTATGCTACTCTGCTGCTGATTATGCATGCCCAGTGTGGAACACACCTCACCACGCTAAAACGGTAGATGAGACATGCCGCATTATCACGGGGTGTCTGCGCCCTGTTGTTGTTGTTCATTCGTTCAGTCATCTCCGACTCTTCGTGACCTCATGGACCAGCCCACGCCAGAGCTCCCTGTCGGCCGTCACCACCCCCAGCTCCTTCAAGGTCAGTCCAGTCACTTCAAGGATGCCATCCATCCATCTTGCCCTTGGTCGGCCCATCTTCCTTTTGCCTTCCACTTTCCCCAGCATAATTGTCTTCTCTAGGCTTTGCTGTCTCCTCATGATGTGGCCAAAGTACTTCAACTTTGTCTCTAGTATCCTTCCCTCCAATGAGCAGTCGGGCTTTATTTCCTGGAGGATGGATTGGTTGGATCTTCTTGCAGTCCAAGGCACTCTCAGAACTTTCCTCCAACACCACAGCTCAAAAGCATCGATCTTCCTTCGCTCAGCCTTCCCTAAGGTCCAGCTCTCACATCCGTAGGTTACTACAGGGAATACCATGGCTTTGACTAGGCGGATCTTTGTTGCCAGTGTGATGTCTCTACTCTTTATTATTTTATCGAGACTGGACATTGCTCTCCTCCCAAGAAGTAAGCGTCTTCTGATTTCCTGTCACAGCCCTACACCACTGGAGAAATTACACTGCTTAGCCGGTATTGCCCCACCTGACATCCACCGGGAAGTAGCAGCCAATAGTGAAAGGACCAAGGCAGTGACATCTCCATCTCATCCCGTTTGGATATCAGCCAGCACGTCAACGACTTAAATCAAGAAATAATTTTCTAAGATCTACAGAGACACTGCTGGAACACCCCAGCAAGCGAGAGTCCAAAAGTGGCAGGTTCAAACCCAGAACCTCAATCAATGGCTGATACCAAATGAGAGACTCCCCCCTGGGCACACAGAAGACTGGGCGACTTGGAAGGCGCTGAACAGACTGTGCTCTGGCACCACGAGATGCAGAGCCAACCTCAAGAAATGGGGCTACAAAGTGGAATCCACGACATGTGAGTGTGGAGAAGAGCAAACCACTGACCACCTGCTGCAATGCACCCTGAGCCCTGCCACATGCACAATGGAGGACCTCCTTGCAGCAACACCAGAGGCACTCCAGGTGGCCAGCTACTGGTCAAAGGACATTTAACCAACTACCAAGCTTGCAAACTTTGTGATTTGTTTAGGTTCTTGTGGGGTTTTTTCGCGCTATAGGGCCATGTTCTAGAGGCATTTCTCCTGACGTTTCGCCTGCATCTATGGCAAGCATCCTCAGAGGTAGTGAGGTCTATTGGAATTAGGACAAGGGTTTATATATCTGTGGAATGGCTGGAGTGGGGCAAGGAGCTCTTCCCTGCTGGAGCTAAGTGTGAATGTTTCAACTGATCACCTTCATTAGCATTTGAAGGCCTGGCTGAGCCTGGGAAAATCTCCTGTTGAGAGGTGTTAAGATGTGCCTGGTTGTTTCCTCTCTGTTGTTTCCTCTCTGCAAAAAGAATCTGCGAACCCCACCTCCTCCAAGATGAACTGAACCACCTCAACTGGGCTCTCCAGGCCAATGGATACTCCACCTCAGACATCAGAAGAGCTGCAAGACCAAGAAAAAGCCACGAGAGTAAAGATGAAGATCCACCCAGAGGAAAAGTGTTCCCATACATCAAGGGAACCACTGACCGCATAGGGAAGCTGATGAGGAAACACAACATACAAAAAATCTACAAACCCACCAAGAAAATCCAACAAATGCTACGTTCAGCAAAGGACAAGAGGGATCCTCTCACCTCTGCAGGAGTCTACCGTATACCATGCAGCTGTGGACAAGTCTACATAGGGACCACCAAACGCAGCATGCCCAAACACGAATCAAGGAACATGAAAGGCACTGCAGACTACTTCAACCAGAGAAGTAGCAGAGCACCTGCATGTTATTTGAAAACACAGAAATGCTGGACCACTCTAACAACCACCATGTCAGACTACACAGAGAAGCCATTGAAATACACAAGCATGTGGACAATTTCAACAGAAAGGAGGAAACCATGAAAATGAACAAAATCTGGCTAACAGTATTAAAAAAACTCTAAAATTACAACAGCACAACAACAGAGAGGAAACAAAAGGACATCTAACCTCTCAACAAAATTCCAGGCTCAGCCAGGCCTTCAAATGCTAATGAAGGTGGTCAGTTGAAACATTCACACCTAGCTCCAGCACAGAAGAGCTCCTTGCCCCACCCCAGCCATTCCACAGATATATAAACCCATTGTCCTAGTTCCAACAGACCTCACTACCTCTGAGGATGCTTGCCATAGATGCAGGCGAAACGTCAGGAGAAATGCCTCTAGAACATGGCTCTACAGCCCGAAAAAACCCACAAGAACCTTTGTGATTTGTTTGTTTGCTTGTTTGTTAAAAAATGCAATGCAAATATTTGGTCTGCTCCTGACACGATAAAGAAATATCCCTCGGCGCAGCTAAGGATTATGGGCCTTGTGATGCAACATTTGGGGTCTCCAATGCTGAAACTTCTCCTCTGGGAAAGCTGTGAGCCCAAGCCTTTCTTGTCAAGTTGCCCAGAGTGAGGGCGAGAGAAGAGCAGCTGTTGCCTCTCCTCATTGGCATGCCTCTCCCCTGCTCAGGGGTGCAAAGAGCTTCTTCCCCGAGAGCCTCTGAGGCTGAAGGGTGGGTTAGAAGAGGCTGAAGCCCCCAAGCCCCTTCTTCCCGAAGCAGCCCCTCAAACAGGGCCGCGCCCCGCGGAAACCCCCCTGAATCTCTGGCGCCCCGCGAGAGGAGGAGGAGGAGGAAGAGGAGGAGGAGGACTTACCGCGAGAGTGAGGCGAGAGGCGCGCGCGAGGGGGGGAAATGGGGTCCCACTAACAGCCGCTTCCGAGGCCAGGCGCGCGCGGAGGGAGGGCGCCCGCCTCGCTCATTGGGCAATCCGTCCGGCCTCCAAACTCGGCCAAAACAAGCAAGCGCCCTCCTCCCTGGGCTCGCTGGTCAGGCACGCCTCCTTGCTGTCCATCACTTCCGGTGAAGGCAGGGGAGGAGGCGCGTGCCCGGAAAAGGGGGGCGGGGCAAGAGGACTAGCTAGTGAAGCCAAGGGGAGCAAAGAGGACCTACTGAGGTCTCTCTACATGTCCGGTTCCCAATTGAACCTGAGAGGAAAGCCACAAGGCTGAGATGTGGCTGAGATCGGATATGGTTTTTTTTACATCTCAGGAGAACCCAACGCAATCATCACTTCCGCTTGGAGGCAAACTCTTATAGAATCATAGAATCAAAGAGTTGGAAGAGACCTTATGCGCCATCCAGTCCAACCCCCTGCCAAGAAGTAGGAATATTGCATTCAAAGCACCCCTGACAGATGGCCATCCAGCCTCTGTTTAAAAGCTTCCAAAGAAGGAGCCACCACCACACTCCGGGGCAGAGAGTTCCACTGCTGAACGGCTCTCACAGTCAGGAAGTTCTTCCTCATGTTCAGATGGAATCTCCTTTCTTGTAGTTTGAAGCCATTGTTTTGCATCCTAGTCTCCAGGGAAGCAGAAAACAAGCTTGCTCCCTCCTCCCTGTGGCTTCCTCTCACATATTTATACATGGCTATCATATCTCCTCTCAGCCTTCTCTTCTTCAGGCTAAACATGCCCAGTTCCCTAAGCCGCTCCTCATAGGGCTTGTTCTCCAGACCCTTGATCATTTTGGTTGCCCTCCTCTGGACACATGATCCAGTGCATCCAGAAAAGCTTGATATGTTATATATTTGCTTGTAAAACTGTAAACTAGGAAACTGATCAGATGTCCTGCTGAGAGGAAATCCCTTATGGGAGGCAAAGCAAACACGAAAAGATCCCATTTAAGATGCAATCAGGCTCCAGGGAAACATCCAAGTGTTTCAGAAATATCAGATATGAGCTGCACCTCGGTACAATTTGTATTTTTCTGTGTGCTTTCCATTGAGTAGTCTATATTTACTTCCCCTTGTTATTATCCACTGACTGGCTCCTTTTATGTACTCATATAAGAGCATCACGGACTCTTTACATTGCTTAAACCTATATTTATTTATTTATTTACTTACTTACTTACTTACTTACTTACTGTATTTGTATACTGCCTTTCTCAGCCCACAGGCGACTCAAGGCGGTTTACAGGGCAAAATTCAATGCCCACAATACTATAAATACAATTATAAACATTAATATACAATACAAACCACAACAAGATCAATAAAAGCATGAGTCATTAGTGTTTCCTTGCTAACAACATTGTCCGGTTACACCATCTAGTTCAGTGTTTCTCAACCTGGGGGTCGGGACCCCTGAGGGGGTCGCGAGGGGGTGTCAGAGGGGTCACCAAAGTATTTTCTGATGGTCATGGGGATTCCATGTGGGAAGTTTGAGCCAATTCTATCGTTGGTGGAGTTCAGAATGTTCTTTGATCGTAATGAACTATAAATCCCAGCAACTACAACTCCCAAAAGTCAAGGTCTATTTTCCCCAGGCTCCACCAGTATTCACATTTGCGCATATAGAATATTTGTGCCA